CTTCATTTTGCCTTTCATGGTTGGAGCCCAAGCCCCATAATCTCTTGTCTGTCCCCTTCGTCATGTGCACATCTGGCTCTACGTTCATCCTGTCTCCACTGTGTGACCAAGGTATGTATCTGCTTGTGCCATTGAACCGCTCCATACCTACAGAGTGGCGTCTAACCCTACCAACTTGGCGAGTGCTGGATTGACTGACAGAGCCTCTTCCTACCCCTGTGAGTTCAGTTCTAGTCAGACTAAAAGAGAACTCGACATAAGCCTAGAGGAAAAACCCATCAAGTTTGACACCCTTCCCCTCCTGAGGCTCATGGCCTCTCTCGGGCCTTCGACTAGACACTGTGGGCATAATAACTTGACTTTGTTTCATCTGCAGTCAAGTACAGTCGAAACTGCACAGGGCATCCTGCCTCTACCCGCTCTGCACAGAGCTGTAGGTAAGAATCGGGAAAAAATGATGTTCTTTATCAAAAACATAATATGAAAGGGCTTTGGAGGTTTGGCAGGGCACAGGGCCTGTGGAGTTATAAAAGAGCAGATAAGGCCTTTGCACAAAAGAGGAGAGGTTGGGTACAAGCTGCTTCCTCTGATAAAATGTCCACCACCTGGGACAGGCCAGAGGGCAGTGGACACGCTGGAGTGGAGCTGGGGAAGTCGCTGGACCTGTGGGTCACAGTAAGTTGCAGAGAAAGTAGCTTTGGAATCTTGTTTGCCTCACACTCCACAGAGGCTTCTGTAGCTTGGGGATGGAGCTACAAGGTAAGAAAATTTCCTGAGAGTCTGCTGGCTATCCAGAACTCCTTTCAGCATGCTCCCTCTCCATGAGGGTCCTTGCTCTGGCAGGTGGGTCCTGCTTCCTCCTGCACAGCAGTTCCCAACCCTGACTGTGCATCAGACACCTAGGGGATTGTAAGGATACACCAGTCCAGGGCACCCCATCCAGCCCCAACTGAATTAGAATTTCAGGGCACGTACTTTTGGCACCATATTTTAAAATGTACATAAGCAGAAATTAAAGGAAGAGCCACAAACCAGAAGAAAACATTTACAAAGCTACATATTTAAAGCCAGGCATGACAGCTTGTACCTTTAACATTTGGGTTGCAAAGGCAGGTGGACCTCTGTGAGTTTGAGGTCAGACAGGTTTACACAGTGAGTTCCAGGCCTATCCAAGACTATATAATGAGACCCTGCCTCTATAAAACAAAATTGCACATTTAATGAAGGATTTGCATCTAGAGTATAATAGGGAAAAAATTGATATAAGGCCTCATGTATCCTAGGCTGGCCTTGACCAAGATGTAGTCAGGAGGGCACCAACTAGGGCCAGTGCTGAGCTCTTGGACCTCCCAAACTGCAAGATAAGCAACTGTACACACACACACACACACACACACACACACACACACACACACAGAGAGAGAGAGAGAGAGAGAGAGAGAGAGAGAGAGAGAAAATAAAATATATTTAATTGTCAGAATCTAGCATGTATGCATATGATATACCTAGCTTGAAAAGATGCAGTGGACCAAAAAAACCACATTTTACAGCAGGTACCTCCAATAGAGAACAAGTTATTTAGTGCTGTGTGCTAGGCATTGTACCAGGTAGTTGGTAGGCATCTCATTTAGATCTCACAGTAACTTTCCAATAAAGACATTTTTACACATTTTCAGAATGGGGAAGTTCCAGTGGTCTCCTTAATCTTCACAGCTAGTTAGAGGCTTAACCGGGTTCCGAGTGGGAACTCAGCCTCCCTGACTACACACTGCTTCAGATTCTACATTGTGTACCTCCCCTCTCTGCTGTCACTTCCTGCCTCTAGCCTCACTTTGTTAGTACTTTTATTCCAGAATTTTCCAGACTTCATTGAAATCGGCAGTTTCCACGGATCTTACCCCTTCCCTTGTCTGTTTCTTGTCACTAATTTTTGTTAGCGTCCAATAGAACGGGCTTCTCTGTGACACTTCATCTGGGGCCATCCTTAGACCCTGTGCACATTCACCCTCCTGATCTAACCAGTCGCTCTCATGGGTTCCCGACCTCAGCCTCCCTGGTGTTCAGGGCAGTTTTCTTCTCCTTTGCAAGCTCCCTTAACTCCCTTGTTCTTTTCTCTCTGCTTGGGACAGGGTAAAGCCTGGCATTCTAACACCCTCTTTATGCCATTCTTATCACTACGCAGTAACTGTTACTGGAGACAAACACACAGAGGGAGTGACTAGGCGTCCTCACACTGCTGAGTCAAGTTTTAATGGCGGCCGCCAGGAGGAGAAGTGAAACAAGTATTCCCAAGGGTGGAGTTGGAGAGACATTGGGTGATTGCTATGGAGCAGTGGGGTGGCTGCTTAAGTTCTAAGTGATGTGGGGGTGACAGGAGCAGGAAAATGAGATTGTGGGGAGAGGGCATTTGTGACCAAAGAGCACAGCAGTGCGAGACCAGGCTGAAGAAACCCACTGCAGATCTGGTAACAATGACATGAGTGGTTTTGGTTTTGGCCCTGGCTGAGGCTCTGAAGGATCCTGGCTGGTCTCAGCAGGTAGATGACTCAGAGAGTGTGGAGAGATGCGAAGGATGGGGCCATCTGGAGAGACCGGGAGAGGCAGGTTTTTCTTCTGGCGCCTGGTGCGGTGGTGAAGACAAGCTGCCGAGTGACAGCTGAGTCTGCGGTGGAGCCAGGCCAGGAGGAGGCTGGGAAATGCTAAACAACCAATCCCATGACAAATGACAGCTGCTGACTTCAGGTCTGCGGTGTGACATCACTGAGTGCAGAGCTGGGAAGTGGTGTGACCTGTCAGGGCTGCGAAGGGCTGGTGTAAACTGGCCGCAGCTTCATACTGGCTGGGTGAGCTCCGAGTTCTCCGTTAATGAAGAAGTAGATATTACACAGTGCTGTGGGTATTGAGGCAGGGGATGGGCTCCCAGGATCCAATTGCATGTGAAGGATGATTCATGCATACAGGATTCTTCTCAGCCTGGGGACTGTACCCAACTAGACGGGAACCTAGGGAAAACTGTGTGGTACTCAGTAACTGTCAGGGGTCTTAGGTGTCTGTCCTATGCCCCTGTGCCACTTGGGAAAGAGTCGTAATGAGAGACTGTGTACATCGGGTTGGTTTGTGGGCATGTCTCCTGGAGATTGTCCTTCAGTTATTTGATGGGGAAGACCCAGGCCACTGTGGGTGTGCACCAGTCCCCTGATGGGAGTTCTGAACTGTTGAAGACTAGGGAAGACCAGCCGAGCTGAGCACTACCAAGCAGGCGCGTGATCATGAAGGCCTTGTCTTCTTCCTGTTCCTGCCCATGGCCAGCTGCTTCAAGGTTCTGCTGCCATGACTTAGCCCACAGTAATGAACTGTGCCCTGGAACTGTGAACTGAAATAAACCTCTTTCCACCTTCAGTCGTTGCTGGTTAAGGTATTTTATTACAGCAACATAGAAGAAACCAGAACAGCCCTCTAGCAAGATGCCTGCTACTTGGTCTGTCGTCTCCAATCAGTTCTATAATGATATTCCTTACAGAGTCACAAATCTGTGATGAATAATTTTTGTCAGTAAAATTTGGGGAGAATTAAAATCACATTATTTGTTTCAAGTAGCCAGATAGTTCATTCATGTGAATAATGCATTTCATTTTAAAGGGACAGAAGTGCTTTACTCTGCATGAACCCCATCGGTTAGAGTTTTCATGCAGAGGAAAGGGTGATTCCAGGAACGGGAATGGGTCGCGTTGACTGTGAGTCTCAGTCCTGGTGGATCTCTCCTTACTAAATGAAATGTGCCAGTATGCTTTTGAGTTTGCTGCTTGTCATTTATCTTGCACCTTCATGGATGGAGACGAAATACTATTCTTTAATAAGGATATATGGCACCATAGGGCTTTTCTTGTGGTGCTGTGTAAGGCACAGAACTGTCCTGCAATAGACCTGCTGTCCTGAAACCGTTGAAGAGCCCGGCGGCTCGCTGCCATCGACTGATACAATCGGCCTCCCCGTGCCCAGCAGAGTCCCATGTTTTCTGCCATGGCCACCAAGAATCAGGATGCTCTCCTCTCCCTTCTTTTCTTCTTCTCTCTCTCTCTCTCTTTTTCAAGTTGTTTGTTGACCTACTTCTGGAACTCTGGGAGGATGCTCTGGCCTGCAGCTCTTGAGAAAATGAAGTGAAGGAAGAAAGGCAATAGAAGAGCCGGTCCACAAATCACCAGCACGCAGGCCTTGGCATCCTGCTTTTGAATTAGCTGTTTGACCCTGAGTCAAGGGAGAGAGGGGCTGCTGACCTCCCTGTAGGGGATGGGTTCCCTGAGGTTGCTGAGGGGACAGTGTTGTATGTCTTCAGCAGTCCCACTCCCCCACCCCCACCCCCTGGCGAGGCTGCTGCCCTCCAGGGCCAGCTTGAGCTCTTCAAACCCCAGTCATGTCAGAGTAATTGACTTGCTGTTTTGCTACTCTGCACAGCTTTCCTTTATTTTATACTTGGCCCTGCGCTCTGCTCCTCCTGCTGGGAGACCCAACCCATCTTCCAAGAAAAGGGTGCATTAAAACAGAAACAAAGTAACCAGACCATAAAATAGAGGTAGAAGCTGGGAGACCAGAAGCCTGGGCACCAATAGCTGCTTGTATTGAAAACCACAGAAAATGGAAGCTATTTCAACCAGACCAAAACCTAGTCCTCTAACTACCTAGCATTGGAGACGAAAAAAGCAGACAGGCCACTTCACCGTCCCTTAGTGCAGCACATTACTAACTATTCCAGAAGAGGCTGGGAAGGTGGCTCCATGGGAAGGGTGTCTGCTGATCACACTGTCAGCATGGGTTTAATCCCGAGGACCTATCTGGTGGCAGGGGAGAATCGACTCCCACGCGCTGTCTTCTGGCTACCACACACAGGCTCTGGCATGTGCCCCCCACAGCACGTAAATAAACAAATGTTGCAATAGATTCTCTGCAAGAGTGGAATGAGCAGCAAGCAGGTCAGCAAGCAACCCTGCCTCCTAGACACTCACCTGATAGTATGGACGCAACAGCAGCAATGATGAAGGACACAATCACGCCAGGTCCTGCCATTTCCTTGGCCACCAGCCCAGACACCACATACATGCCAGTGCCCACGCAGCTGCCGACTCCGAGAGAGATGAGGTCCACAGTGGTGAGCACCTGGGCTAGCTTGGTGCCATGCGCGGTGGTAGTCCCGGTTCCTTCTAGCATGGACTCCACTGGCTTGGTGCGCAGGATCCGAGAGTGCATTGCGTACCAGGCAGCCCCCCACTGCACCCTTCGGGGGTCCACGGAGGCCAGAAAGCCACTCATCGTGAACAGTAGGGTTGCGGTGAAGGTTTGACTAGTACAGAAGCCTTAGTGGATGACCCTTGAACTCATGGAGCAATGAGTGTGTGTCCTTTTAAGAAAGGCCCAGTGGGACCCAAAGCCGTCTTGACTTGGGCATGAACGTCTGCAAGAGAAAGACAAGAAAGAAGATAAGAATAGTGGGAGGCAAAGCATGACTTGGAGACACATTGGGCATACGCTCATGAACAGGTGCAATGAGACTGTCCTTTGTGCTTACAACATGGGAACATTCCATCTCTCCATTCTCCCTTCTGAATTTCCTCCCAGTCCCATTGCCCCATGTCCCATAATCATCCCAGAGACTGGTTTAATATAAGATCCACTGTAAGCCATTTCCTGTCTCTGTGCTTCAGTCTTAGGTGTTCACAGGCCAATAAAGTCTTGACCAGAACGAAGACATTCTGAAAAGATGCGTGTTCCCTCTCTTTGCAAATTCCAACCATACTTCAAGAAATTAGATTTTTCTTTAAGAATCTCATACTGGGAGAAGGAAAAGGTCGGGGCCCTGGTGCCAGCTGGGAGATTTCATCCCTAGAAAGATATGTCACATGGTTCTGACAACTTGTCAGTCAGAACACCTCGCAGGAGAGACTGAGACCCTCATGTTGGTGTTGGGAATACTAATGAGGGCGCTCCGCTATGCGTACCTTCAAATCGCCCTCTAGTTAAACCCATAGCTCACGTGAGGACCCTGAAGATGGACTTGGAAGAGGGCCTCAAGCTTTTTGTTTTTCTTCCCAGTGTTGCCACACTGAATGTGTCTCCCCTTTCTGTTTTCAGCTATTTGTTTGTCTCTTTCACTTGTCCCCTGTAGTTGGTAAGTTTCTGTTATTGTAACAAATATTCTGATAAAAGCAACTCAGGGAATAAAGGCTCATGGTTCCAGAGGAGTGGTGTAGGTGGAATTTTCCTGTCCTGCCAGCTGTTCCCAAATAACCACTAAGAGGCTTATATTAATTACAAATGCTTGGCTAATAGCTTAGGTTTATTACTAGCTAACTCTTACATTTAAATTAGCCCATATTTCTTATCAATGCTTTGCCACATGGTTTGGTACCTTTCCTTAGCACGGCATGCCCATCTTGCTTCTCTCTGTGTCTGCTTGTGACTTCTGACTCTGCCCTTCTTCCTCTCAGCATTCTCTCAGTATGGCTCTCCTGCCCAATCTCTTCCTGCCCAGCTGTTGCCCAGCCAACTTCTTTTATTAAGCAAATCACAGGGACATATATTCACACCGAGTAAAGAAATGTCCTACAGCATGGTAGAGTCCGTCGTGGTGGGGATGACATGGCATTAGATGGGGAAAGCATGCAGCAGGTGCAGGAAACTGGCTAATGGGGCTTCCAATAACACACAGGAAGCTGAGAAGGAACAGGAGCATGGTGAAGGTAGAAAATCTCAGAGCCTACGGATGTTTTTCCTCCAACAAGGCTCCACATCCTGAAAGTTCTACAATCCTCTCAAATAGAACCACTAGCTGGGAATCAAATACTCAAGCACATGAACCTATGAGCGACATTTTTCACTCAAGCCACCAGACCTATTGTGGACAGGCGGCTGAACCTAGTTCCTAGGGCTGCCAGGGCCTAGGCTCTGACCCAACAGCTCCAGCAACTAAGTCATCTTCTTGGCGTTAATGCGATGGCAGGTCAGTGCACGCATGTAAGAAGCTGAGAATGAGACCTGGCTCATAGGATGCACTCAGCTGCCTCAGCTCCTATGTACTTCTTACTTGGCTCCATCAAGATTTGATGTGTGATGCATATTCTTTGTGAACACAGCATCCTCATTTGTGAACAAAACCAATAGAACAAAAAATTGGATCCCTGATTCTTAAGAGGGGTCACGCCACTTATGGAGTTGTTTTGAATTTGGCTTTCAAATAAAACAGAAAATGTTTTGGGCACTTTCTTGCTTTGGCAGATTATATGGTGAAGAATTCTGCTGACATTTGGGGGCGGGCTGGGGCTAACAGTGGAAACACACAGGATGATGGCGTGTATCTCTGGTAGCTCTCACTTGAGGTTCTTGAATATAAGCATCTTGGCAATGGTGATCTGAGCTTCAATACTGAACTTAAAAGTCTGCCTGATGTATCAGCATGAAGGATATTTTGGATGGTCTTAAAATATAAAGACACTGAAACTTCCAGTAAATCAACTCTAGAGTAAGTGAAATGGGGGTTGTAAGTTGATATGTTTGGAATTTACCAAATGTTCACCATCTGAGG